CCTAAAAGAAAACAGCCTCCAACCCAGATTGATGTACCCTGCAAAACTATCTTTCAAAATGGATGGAGAAATAAGATACCTTCATGACAAAGAGCACCTTAGGAACTTCATGAATACTAAAAAAACCACATCTTTATTCATTGATGGGTGGGCATTTGGATTGTTTCCAAGATTTAGCTATTACAAATCATGCTGCTATGAATATGGATGTGCATATATCACTGGGTATGATGCTTTTCATTCTTTTGGGACCATACTAAGAAGGGAGATAGCTGGGTAAAATGGAACCTCCAATCCTAGTTTTTTGAGGAATCTCCACACTAATTTCCACAGTGGTTGCACCAGTCTATACTTCCACCAACAATAGAGAATGGTTCCTTTTTCCCCACAGCCTCACCAGCATTTTTTATTGGTTGATTTCTTGATAATAGCCATTCTTTCTGGAGTGAGATCAAATATCAGCATTGTTTTAATTTGCATCTCTCAAATGAGCAGTGATATCAAATATTTCTTCAGATATTTATTTCCCATTTGTACTTCTTCATCTAAGAAGTGTATATTTATCTCAGATGCCCATTTTTGGATTGAGTCTTTAAATATGGGGGTGTGATTTTTTTCAGTTCTTTATATATTCAAGATATCAGTCTTTTGTCTGAGGAACAGCTAGCAAAAAATTTTTCCCACCCTGTTTCTTTGTCTCTTTACTCTGTAGGTGATTTCTTTTGCTGTGCAAAAGCTTTTTAATAATATGAGATCCCAGTTGTTGATTCTTTGTAATATTTCCCATGCAGCCGGGGTTTTGTTCATAAAGTCTTTGCCTACACCTATGTCCTCAAGAGTTCCTCCTATTCTCTCTTCCAGCAGAGTTAGTGTTTCAGTTTTAATATTTAGATCTTTGATCCATTTTTATTTTAGTTTAGTGCATGGTAAGAGGCATGGGTCTAGTTTTAGTCTTTGGCGTGCGAAAGCTAGTTTTTCCAGCACCATTCATTAAAGAGGCTATCTTTCCTCCAGTGAGGGTGTTTGGCTCCTTTGTCAAAGAAGAGGTGTCTGAGTATGTCTGGAGTTGTTTCTGCATCTTCTATTCTGTTCCACTGATCCTCAGGTCTGTTTTTTGCCAGTACCATGCTGTTTTTATCACAGTGTCTCTGTAGTATAGTTTCAGGTCATGGATTGTGATGCTCCCTGTCTTACTTTTATTGCCCAGAATTGTTTTTGCTGTTCTAGGTCTCTTCTGGTTCCAAATGTACTTTAGGAATGTTTTTGAATCTTTACAACAATTCCATTTTGATATCTATTGCTGGTTAACACACTATCACAAAATGTAATGACTTGACCATTGCTGTTCTCAGCACATTCTCAATGTCATTTTTAGCTCAGGTTATTGGTGCAAGTTAACATCGGGATGTTCTGATTTTTAATGGTGTTTTAGGGATCTCATGATAATTTTTAAGAATAACTTTTACGCTTGCCATAAACAGTCTTCACATGTCACATGTGCTGCCCTCTAGACATAATTTGCTCCTTGCCACACATGTACTTATGTTTATCCCATGTTCTGAATCCTTAGAAATCCAGAGTGACCCACTAGCAGGTCTTAGATTATTCTATCTTAAAATGTTAATGATGGCCAAAAGCAGAAAGTAAATCCTGGTTACAAGCAGAATATCTCCAAATGCTCTATAGTATAATAGAGAAACTATAGCTGACAATTAATTGTATATTTCACATAGCTAACAAGGAGGATTTCAAATGCTCTTAACACAAGAAAGGATAAATATTTGAGATGATGCATATACCAGTTACCCTGATCTGATCTTTATGTTTTATATGTATGTACTGAAATATCATATCACACTGTATCTTATAAATTATATAATTTTTATGTATCAATCAAATGAATTCAGTTTTTAAAATTCATCTCACAGAAACAGAAGGAAATATCCTCTCTTAAATAAGAACGTTCCTTCATAGTTTAACCTAAAGGAGTTAGTAAATATCAAACATAAGCTTGGAAGCAGGGTAGGTAGCAAAAGATTTTGTCTGGGAAGAGGAAATTTAAAGGTGGTGAATTAATTCATTTCTAGGAAAAGACATAGTGACCCATACAACATAATTTTTTGGTGAGAACTGCCATTTGGTGGTAAGCAGCCCAAGAAGGTAAATTTATTATTAATGGGAAAAGTTTTTAAATTAACAATTTTTAAACCCAGAAATGGTGCACACCTATAATCCTAGCACTTGGGAAGTTGAGGCAAAACTACCCCAAGTTCAAGTTCTAGGCCAGCCTAGGCTACAGAGTGAGTTCAAGGCCAACCTGAACTACATAGTAGTTCTGTCTCCAAAAAAAAAAAATAACATTTTTTAAAATCATCTTAATCATTATAAAGAGATTACAATTGCTGACAAAAAATTCCTCCCACAAGTCAAATTAAATAAAGATTTGGAAATGATTGAGGCATTTAAACTTAGACCTTCTACCTCCTGATAGAATCTCATAAGAGAAAGTCATAAGATTTCTGATACTTCATGATTACTAGAATACTGAGACTTCAGAAGAAATTTTTCTCTTGAGGATTTCCACAGAAAACCATAAGAAGTTGTTTATAGGGTACTGTATTCATTTATTCAACAAATATTTGTTGAGTGTTGCTATGTGCCGGGAACTAAGGTAAAACGAGCCCAGCACTAAGCAAGCAGGGCCCACTACTCATGGCCCTTAAGGTAATTTGCAGTAAGAACAGACCCTTGAACCTGAAGCTTATTGGGATATTTTCACCTCTCCCTCTCCCTTTTCCCTATCTGTCATCATATTGCTACTACCTGTGTGTATCCAGCCATGACGGTGCATTCTTGTAATCCCAGTGCTCTAGGATGGTGAGGCAGAAGGACTGCAAGTACAAACCAAACCTCATCAGTTTAGTGACATAGCAAGACCCTGTCTTAACATTTAAAAAATTTTTTAAAAGGTTGAGATGTAGCTCAGTACAAAAGCACTGGGTTCAATATCCACTACTATATTTTTAAAATGCTACTAAAGTGCAGTGATTAAGAGAAGAAATTCTAGAGTTAGAATGCTGGAATTCATAAACCAGCTCCACTAAGAAGACTTTTTAGAAGAGTCACAAATAATTAATTTTGAAATGCCAGAAGAAATCATAACCAGTGCTCTTATGTCAAGCAGAACTCTGATAATAATCTCTGTTAAGTTCTATAGTAACTCTCTAAGAGTCTCTTAATTAGTTATTGTACAACTACATGGTTTTACCTTAGGAAATGATTCCTACAACATTCTTAAATAATACTCCTTAAATATTTTTTAAATCATCCCATTCAATCTTACCTTTTCCTCTCCCTTGTGAACTGTTCACCAATGAAACAGTTTCATTTTCACTTTTTCAAAATGATAGTATTAAGAAACAGAAGTGAAAGTATGAATCATAACATATCAGGAGTTCATAGCAAGATAGCCATTTATAACTCAGAAAACCAGAGGGTATTTCCAAACTGATGTCATTCATAGAAAGAATGCCATGGGTTGTGGAAGATTTAAGAAAAATCACCTAGCTTAGTTGGGGGATTTAGAATACATATGGGATATTCCCAGTAATTTTTTTTTAATTTACAAAGATCTATATATGTTTCAAATATTCATGTGTACAATCATCTTAGAAATTAGAAACCTAATTCTTTTTAATTCTGATAACTGAGACAATGTACAGTGAGATTCTACTTTAGAAAGCATAACAACAGAATGTAACTAAAGCTTTCTTTTATTTCTTTGAGTTGCATAAATACCTAAATTACTATGAAATCTCTGTAGTTGTTTTACTTATAAGAAAGAAATTGTATAGAAAAAAATTAATCTCTGCTCAAATTATTAAAATTGCTTGTTTTCATTTTATCCTTTTTGGAAGGAAGAAATAAATATAAACTTCTTTCCCTTTGGGATCTCACCACCCGCTTCACCCTGTACCTATACTATGAGACAGACACTGTGTTTATCTGCTTGGTCCACTGACTGGCCTTTCTCCTCCTTCCTACACTCCCCATCCCCATTGGAATATCTTTCTATGTTAGAAAATTCACTTCCCACCATATGTCTGGCTCAGGCACTTGGTCTAGACCACATGCCCTCCTTCATTTTGCCATTTCTGACAACCTTGCCTGACTTCACCATTAGATCTAGGTTACTGGAAATTAATAGCCAGAAACTTTATCTGCCTCACACTTTCCAGGGCCAACAACCTGCTTAAAGGAGGGGAACAGAGAAAGCAAGAGGGGTGAGGAGAGGAGAAAAATCATAGATTAATAACTTCTAACACTACCTTACCATAGTCATCTCCTAGTAAATCACTGAGCAGTGACACCCTCATATGCACAATTGATCCCCAGTTTTATGGGTAGTTGAGGGAAGGAAACCTGGACATCTGATAAATTTCCTGATTCCCCTGTAAGTTCTACTCATATTTAAAGTACTGCATCCTCATCCTTCAACAACTCTCCTAATCCTCGCCACTCTATGAGCTTGAGCTTCTTATGCACAAGTGCAGAACTTCCTCTGAGATGGATTATTACTGGAAGTTTGCACAGGGCTGGAATACCAACTCCCCAAGCAACTTTAAAACAGCCACAGAAGAAAGAGGCTAACAGTGACTTTGGCTAACTTGAATGCTCTAGTAGTCTATTCTTCCTTCTAAGGCAACATCTGCTTCCAACTCTCTGGGCTTAATCAAGGAATCCCCAAGCTCCCGTTAGGGAACATGATGGGCCTGGTTGCCATTTTGGTGTCTAGCCATTCTATCACTCAGGACCTTCCAACAGTATTCCTGCTTTTGCTTTTCCCTTCTGTGCCTTCCCTTCTTTCACATTATAAATAAATGAGAGAAAACGGTAAAATCCTCCCATACCTTCTATATACCTTCTATACCAGAGCTCTCCTGACAAGAACAGCAGCCATTCCCAGGAACAGCAAGGAATCATCCCACAGCAAAAAAGACAAAAATGCAAGATGTAATAATTCAGAGAAACCCCTTCCTGTAACAGTTTTGATAGGAATCACCAAGACCATAATTTACCTGACTTCAAAGTTGACAAAAGTGCAAACTTCAAGAAAGAAATCAACTCCACACTCATCCTTATGTCTACAAAAGTCAATAGATATCACAATCAAGTTCAGGAGGCACTGCATCCTAGGTGTACACTCAGAAGAGAGACTTACCATTAAAGACCCAATGTGTGCACATGGTAATGATCTTTTTTCGCCTGTAGATGGAACTGATAAAAATTTAACTGCTTCTTACCTAAAGAATTTTTTCCAGGTAATCAGGTACTTCTTTTCAGTAGAACATATTTGCAGTGCAAATGATTACATTTATTGTTGGGAGTTGGTACGTGTACATAACCCATCTTCATTATTTTTCATCTCCTACCTCTCCCATCCCTCCCTGCTCCTTCCAATTCTTGGCCCCCTTCCCATTTACAAAAGCTCTATTTCTATTCTTTTTTCTTCAATTTATTCCCATCCCCTTTCCCTCCCTTTTTTTCTTCCCTCTCCATTTCTTGTTCTGCTTCCCATTTGAGAAATATACAGATAGGACTACAATCCCAAGCCAAAACCTTCAAATGAATGTACAAGAGATTATATCCCCAAATTGGAGTGACTTCTTATAAAATAGCATCTCCCAAATCCCTAGAAATATTGAAAGACTGGGACTCAGAAACCATAGGGTATAAAGATGATAGAAAGATGCACTCTTTAGCTGGGACGAAAGCCTATTTATGAGAATGTGAAAGAAACTGCCATGCAAACAGAGGACCATATTACTTTTAAAACCCTAAAGGAGCCATAGTGAGACTTTAAACCAAAGCCTGTAAAGATCACCGAGTCGTGAGCTCACCCGATGGTGCCCTGACTAATCCTCTGAAACCTCCCAGAATGACTGGAGACAATGGGACAGCTCTTCTTGCACCAAGTTTGAAAGACATAAACAATATTTTGGAGTCAAAACTAAAATCTCAGGTTTCAAGTCCTCAGCCCAAGCTAATTTCTTTTTCCCTACAAATGTAGAAGAGAGTATCAGGTCAATATGTGACATTTGCAGCTGCTAAGAATATCCATAGTCCTAATCTTACCATCACAAATCTAACAGATAACGAGATAGAAAAGGACATACTGCTTCCTCCAGAACAGATGCTCCCTGAAGTAAAACGACTGATTCTGCTCATGGGCCCATATTGAAAAGACTGATGATGCATCACCAGCAAGAAGCCTGCTCCTCATTCCGTATTTCCCAAACCTGTGCCTCTTCCCCCGAGTTTCACAGCAGCACTAAAGCTGAACACTTTTGGTGCCCTGCGACCACACTCAAGTTCTGCTCCCTTGCCATTTGCCCTCACTGTATAGCAAAAGGCTCAGTCTTTGGGTGAGGCATGTACGCACTCATCCAGTGAATCTGCCCAGCCTCCCACCAGTGCAGAGCACAGGAAGATGTAATCTGTAAGTCTTCCAATGTCCCACAGCTTTACATGACATAAGCAAAATAACTCTGCGCATATTGAGCAGAATTCTCAAATACCAACTCCAGCTGACTGCCCATCCTTCCCCCTGAAGAGAGGTAGTGTTATAACATTCCAAAGCTCTGACCCACCGCAGATTCGACAGAGTTTGCTGACTGCAATCCTTTTTTGGCAGAAACTGCTGCAAAATCGAAGAGTCACTGTTTCATCAGAGACAGTATCTGTGAATGGAAGGTTAAGGCACAGCCATCCATCTTCTGACGCCCAGGAAGGTGGCTACACGTTTCGCTGCCATACTGCACTTCCCTGATTCCACTTCACAGAGCAGCCTCACCCCAGCAGAGAATGTGAGCAAATAAATCTATGTTCAGATATGCACTGCTGTATTATTTATTAACATATAAAATTGTATGCTATGGCTTTCAATGCCAAAAGAAGAATTATTAGAATTTATAATTTATAAGAATTTTTTGTTCCCTTTGTCTTAAGAGCTAAATATGATGCCTTATAACCCCACTTACAAGGGATAAATGACTTGCATTTTTTAAAATAAGAAATAAACTTTTTATTGGGCCAGGGATTTAGCTCAGCGGCACTGCACCTGCCTTGCAAGTGCAAGGTCATGAGTTCAATCCCTGGTAAATAAAGAAAAAAAGATTGACAAAGAAATACCTTTTATTGATATCTCTTACTTCTTGATACTTTCTCTACAATTGTATTTAGACAAAAGTATAAATTAAGATTTATAGACTTCTATTTATATGACACATAAACAAACAGATCTGACATCTGCTGTCTCAATGTTAGTTTAACTGGAAATATTTATAGTTAAACCTGTTTTTTATTGAGAGAATTGCCTAGAAAATAATGTCAGCAAAATATATTCAGTTCAGCTATTTTCACTGATGAAAAACTTAGTATGCAAGACTTATCCTGTGCATTCTGTGTATAACTATAAATTAGTATCAAATTTAGAAGAAACAGTATTTAAATATTTTATTAACATTAAACACTTGATCTTTTTAATCTTTAGAGTTTAAGCTTCACAAGGAAAATTTTAAATATTTTCTGTATGTAATTATGATACTTTCACACAAGTATTACTTATTTTATGTCCCAGAAGCCTTAAAATTTTTCCTGTGAAAATTTTATTATTGACAATTATTCACTGATATGCAGAAAGAAATAAAGGTTAGTGTATATCCATACTAGAAAACTGCAAATACTTTTTGATAGTCCCAGAAATCCTGGTTTTAATTCAAGCAAAATGATAAAACTATCATTATGTAGTTCAGATGTTAATATTCTAAATTACATATTTACATGAAAACTCAAACAGTTAAGCTACAGAGCTCCTAATTTATTGTCTTATGACTATTCCAGGGCCTAAAACTTGTTGATATCCTCTCCCTACTTCAAGAATTTAATTACTCATTTATTCTGAAAGATTATTTTCAAACAAGTTGGCATTAAATTGGTTTTCCCTAAGCTATTGGTATATCTGCCTCTTTGAAAAATGTGTTCATATTTTTTCTCCATGCATGATGGATGGTGGATGGATGGATGGATACAGATACAGATATAAATACAGACAGAGATATAGATGAATAACCAATTGCTGCCTAAAGACCAAGAGCCACCAGAGTAAAAATGGCAAACAGACATTTGAGAGATATCTACAGCTAAAAAGGAATAATCCATATATATTCCATTATTGTGCCTAAAGAAAAGCATTTTCAGGCTCATCAAGAATTTGGTGGCATGGGAATAAGGACTCTGCTCCACACAAAAGCAATGTATATAGCATCCTACATGAGTGTTTTATTCATTAACTCATTACGTATCATTGTTGCCTGTGAACTAAGTACTAGAAAAGTGTATAGCACTAAAAAAGTTCATATGATTTCCATGC